TCACTTCTCTTTTTTTCCAAAGTCCTTGTGCACTATCAGATTTTTTTAAGTTAAACTTGGATTGATCAGATCAAAGAACTTTTTTCCAAAATGATAGTGGCATTGAAAAATACTTTTTTGAAAAATAATTCTTGTCTTTATATGGTTGTTTGTTTAGAATGGTTTTTTACGAGTAATATATCCACAAACCCTGCTTTATGAATGTGATTTCTAATTGATTTTAATTCTTGTTGAGTTTTTCAGATGGTTCAGCTATATTTTTTGCGGTTTCAAACCGATTTTCTTTATCATTCTTAAAATTTCTTCATCATCTCTTCAAGTTGTCTTCAGATTTCTACCTTGTCCAGTACAAATTTCAGATGTTTCATATTGTTGGTATTTCTTTACAATGGCTCCTACTATTGTAAATGGAATACTTGTAAGTTCTTTAACTAGTTAACCTTGTTTAACTAAGTTTATAACAAGTTGTATTTAAATATTTACCTTTAGGTGCCATACAATTTGTCTAATACAGTTTTTAATGTCTTTTTTTTTCAAAAATATTATAAATTGTTGAAAATAAAATTCTATAAATATAAATTCAATTGTAAAATTGATATAATATAATTTTAAAAAATTATAAACAAATAATTTTCATAACAATTTTTTTTTTTTTTAAACATCTTTGCTTCCAATAAGACTGCAAGCAACAACTAATTAGAGTTGGAAGTTACTGGAAGAAAAAAGATGAAGATTGTAGAGCAAGATAATGATTGACAGACAACTTAAAAGATTGCAAATTATATGAATCAGAAAAGCAAGGTAAAGGTAACAAATTCCAAAGAACTGATGTTCTAGGAAAAAAAACTAGAGGAATAAGAGTTTTTGGAGCACTTAGGAACAGTCACAGAAAAAAGGCTGAGACTTAATTGAATGACGAGTAACACAAGAATGAATTTTAGTAGGTATCATAAGAGATGCTAGCTCTTTAGAGCAGTGCCCATTATAGTATTTGTAGAAAAGAGAAAGAGAAGCAACATTATGATGATGTGATAATAGTTGAAGGTTAGCTGCAAGAGTAGGTCCAACTATGTTTACTATGAGTTTTTGCACCTTGTCTAAAAGAGAAAGGGTATCATTAAATGATCCGCTCCAGATATGGCAACAGTATTCTATACAAAGCCGATTTTGAGATTTATAGAGATAGAGAATAGAATCCGGAGTAAGAAAGTGTCAAGCTCAATACGAGATGCAACTTTAGCAGATGCTAATTTTGCAACAGATTTGATATATGGTTTCCATGAAAGATCAGAAGTAAGAGTTAATGCTACATTACCGTTCATAAATATAGGTCTAAATTATTGCAAAAATAATTGGCTGAAAAAAATTGAGTTTTATCTGAATTAAAGTTCACTAGCCACTGTGAGCCCCATGCTGAATGAGCTCCAACAGAAGTGAGATCCTTTTCAAGCTCAATTGCCCCCTCCAAGTAATCAAAAAGTGTTGGCTCTTATCATGACAAGAATAAATGGTAGTATCATCAGCAAACAATGCCACTTTAGATGTGAGAATATCTGGAAGATTGTTAATGTAAATTAAAAAGAGTTTAGGGCCAAGAATTGAAACTTGAGGAAACCCTGAGGTTACAGAATAAGAAGAAGAGTGCTGCCCATCAAAGACAACTTTTATACTAGGATTGGAAAGGAAGGACTCAATAACCTTAAAGATGTTTCCAGATACACATATTTTTCTGGAAACATCTTTAAGATTATTAAAAAAATGCTTATGGAGAAGACCAGCATGCCAAACTTTATTAGGAAATCACTTTAAATACAGAAGCTGGAGTGATACAAACGTCAAGTAATGGATGAACCTGTTGGACGACTATATCAGGTAGAACTCAACTAGTGGAATCAAGAGATTATATTGATGAAAAGTTCTTAGCAAACAATTCAGCTTAGTCTTTAGGTGAGGTGACAAAGTCTGAACCATGCAAGAGAGGTGGAATTGCAGATTTATGCCTATTATTGATACTATCAAAGATTCTCCAGAAGTCACAAGAGCCTAATTTTTGTCATGGAATACGAGATTTCATGATCTGAAAATAGTGGGCTTTGGGTTAGACAAATCCTTTTTACAATGGTTTCTAGCAGTAATAAACAGATTTCTGTTTTGTAGAGAATTGTTTTGCTGATAGATATGGAAGAAATGGTTTCAATTGGCAATTGCAGCAGCGCAGTGTGAGGAAAACCATGGGGAAGAGTGAGGCTTGACCTGGAATTATTCAGAGGAAATAAAGGATTCTATGTCAGCCTGAATCTGCGAAGTTTTGTAAGAAGCACATTTGTCAACAGGGAGATGAAAGATTTTTACCCAAGTGCCATCATAAAGAAAATCATGGAAAGAGTTCCAGAAAGCTTTAAGGTAGTTGTAAGATGTACGATGGTAGGGGGATTCTGATGATAAAGAAAAATGAGATAATAGTTTTAGAGAGATCAAACTGTGATCAGAGGCATACAAGGTGTGTGTGTTTGTGCATATATATATATATTATATATATATATATATATATATATATATATATATATATATATATATATATATATATATATATATATATATACACTTACTAAAGCGTGTTTTGATAAGCATTTGCTCACTTTTTCTGCTTACCTTAAGCTATACACTTTTTTTTGAAAAAGAAGAAGAAAAAACGAAGAATGATGAATGACTTACTAAAGTAAGTGTATACATATATATATATATATATATATATATATATATATATATATATATATATACAAATATATATATATATATGCATATATATATATATATATATACTATATATATATATATATATATATATATATATATATATATATATATATATATATATATATATATATATATATATATATATATATATATATATATATATATATATATATATATATATATATATGCACACACACACCTTGTACAGAAGTTTTGAATGTACTTTTTTTTTTAATGTATATAATACTTTTAAGAAATGATAACTATGTTGATAAGATGTACTCTGTATTTTTATGTTTATTTATTTTATGTATATATATATATATATATATATATATATATATATATATATATATATATATATATATATATATATATATATATATATATATATATATATATATATATATATATATATATGCACACACACACCTTGTACAGAAGTTTTGAATGTACTTTTTTTTTTAATGTATATAATACTTTTAAGAAATGATAACTATGTTGATAAGATGTACTCTGTATTTTTATGTTTATTTATGCTATGGCTGTAATTTATTAATTTAGAGAGAAAAAAATTATGAGGATATTATTAAGGAGGTGGAGGGTGATTAGAAAATTAACAGAGCAAATATCTCCTTTCGATTTTTTGAAATTAAGTTTAAACACACTTTAATAAGAAAAATCAAAACACTTGTTTATGGAAAAATTTTTAAGTCTTTTTTATTTTTATCACTCAACAGCCTGTTAGGATATTTCATTTGGATCCCTATTCCTATTCTATTTTGAACAAAAGCCTTTTCTATGACTCGATTCAAAATTCAGCAATTTTCAACTGATTGAATCTTGTCAAAATATCCTATTTTTATGGGTAAAAGAGCTGTTTGTTTTTTTAAAACAAAATGGCAAGTCATTGGAATGCATAAAATGAAAATGAGCAATATAAAAATGGCAGGCACTTTAATATTTCTTAATTCAGTGTTTGTACAACAATTAAAAATTATCAACTGGTAGTGTCAATGAGAAACCTTTTATTGGGGATGAAAAGCATGCTTTACAGCAGGCGATGAAAGCATGCTTTACACACTAAGCAGACCAGCTTATATGCAGAAATCAATAGTTCACTGGTAGACAAAATAGTTAGTCAAACTACAATACGTAAGTTATTATGCAGAAAAAACTAAATTTGTTTTATTGTGCAAGAAAGCTTTTGTTGACATTAACCCAATGCCAAAAACAAAAAAATGGTGCAAAGAGTGTTCAAATTATTCAGTGGAACAGTGGAAAAAGACAATGTTCCATGCCATACAGTACATTCAATCAATGATTATTTCCTTGAAAAAAAAAAAATTTGACTATTGGCCAGCAGGTCACCTGACTTCAATCGGATTGAAAAATTATGGAGTTTGATGGATTATTAACTAACAAAAGAGAAAAAATCTAATCATGAAATGCTAAAGCAAGAACTGACCAAACTGTGGCCTGAAATACCAATCAAGATGATTGAAAACTTAATTGAATCAAAGCCAAGGCAAATACAAGCATGTATATATTTGGATTAAAAAAAATTGTAGACGGGTTTAAACTTCATTGCACTTTTTTCTAAGTAATCTTTTGATTACTTGAGTTTAATTTTTAATTTAAGAAAAGATTTTGCCTTTTTTTTATTTAATTTTTTTTTTTTTTATTAACAATCAGCAAAGAAAATAAATAAAATAACTCATGTTTTCTCTTTGTAACACTCTAAATTTACCTTGACTCAAAAAAACAAGTGGGTTTTTTGTATAAGGTGTATAAATTTTTTGTATAAGGTGTATATATAGATTTACATCAAATTTCCTTTGATGTCAAGATTAGATTTACTGAGTTTTGTGAATATATACCAAAGTGGTGTATTCGTGTTCGAGGCGCTTTTGTGAGTGCCACTAGAATGCAAAATTTTTAGCATTAAAAATATTAGATATTTTAGACTGTAAAGATCTCTTAACATTAGTTGCATGTCTCTTAAAAAAAAAAATTATTCTAAATTAATTCTAATATATAAATTAATAAGAATAAAGAAATATAGAATTAACAAAATTTTTCTTTCTTTTTAACAAAATTTTTTTTTTAGAATTAGCAAAATTTTCTTTTCTAATCATGTTTTTTTAATTAATATTTTTCTTTGAATTGCATCATATAATTTATTCTCAAAAATTTAAAGTTAGAAAATTTTTACATTGTTTTATTGATATTGTTTTATTAAGATTTACTGCAAATTGCGTTCCTATTATGTTGGAAATGAAAATCTCAAAAGTCGAGAAAGGAAGAGTAATGAGTTCTTCGCTGGATTTCAGGTAATATAAAATTTAAATCCATTGTTAGGTGTCATACTATTTATTATTTCAACTTTTTTAAATGTAATATAAAATTGATTAATAAATTTTAAGTAGTGTAAGTTCTAATTGAGTCATAAGTTGTCTGTTGTATAATATTAATTAAAACTGTAATAATGTAAATAAAAATCATTATAAATAGAGTGAGGTTTGCAAATTACGATAATTTGAAAAGTTAAAAGAATGAGACAGTAAGTAATTGAATTAGTGAATGAATAAATAATAATATGTAATAATAGTGTTTTATGAGAATAAAGAATATTGATAATATAGAAATATTAATATTAACATTAAATAGATTAATTAGTAATTTAATAATAATTAATTATTTAAAGTTCAAAGTTTTTCCATTGATTTTTCTTATTCAATTTGATTTAGATTTTTTTTTCTAATTTTATAGTTGTTGATTCATTTTTTTGATTAATCTTTTTAGGTTAATCCAAAGACACTAGATCTTTCAGAAAAAGATAAACCACAGAAAGTTTCCATTACATCAACAGTACCAATTGTATGTGGAGATGGAACTGAAAATTGTTTTGTTTCAATAGAACTGGGTCAAGATAATGAAGATTCTTTTTTGAATATATGTGACTTGCATTTTAAACCAGGACAAGCTGGACAGACACAAGAAGTTGAAGTGGTTGCTAAAAGAGACTTTGTAGATGATGGAAATCAACGCATGTTTCTAAAAATTTTTGTTCCTGATCAATTAGATGCATTAGACTGGAACTGTCATAAAAAAATTTCAGATGTAGAGGTATATTATTTGTTATCAATGGCTAAAAACAATCAGTAGTTATTTGTTGTTTTTTTTGCTAAGAAAAAATGATTTTTTTCAATCTTAGTTTATGGTTTACAAAAAAAAAATTGACCAAAAACATTTTCCTCCAATAAGTTTCTCTAAGTGAGTTAATAATCCACCTTTGTTATCAGATTCAGTCATTAAATTTGTAGAATCTTATCCAATCAAAATTATAGTTTGATTAATTCCTCAAGGAACCATATAAAGACCAATTGCAGCTTCTTTTGCTAGTTTGTTTGGACCCTTTTAAGGTGTGTAATGGGTCAAATGGCTCAGAAGTAACACTAATGTTTTCTTGCTTTTCTGTTCTTCAACAAAACGTTTGAGTAAATGAATCTTCAATTAAAATTGTAGTAGGATCTTTTCTTCCATCTGCAAATATGCCTTTTGATAGGAGCTTTAATAATTAGTTTTTCTGAAAACTAAAACTCTAGTTTTAGCCTCTTGTCTGGCTCTCCAAATTTATTTAGGATCACATGCTAAACTAACCATTTTTGGAGTCAAGTAACTTGATTTGATTAAATGTTGAAGGAAAGAAAATTCTATTGCAGATATTGCAACAGGAGATATGTCAAGTTGAAGAGATGCTAGTGCTGTATTAGGAATCTTCATGTAATTCTGTTTAATGGTAATAAATGGGGATGTTTTTTGCTTGATATTATTGGAGCTGTCTTCTGAGGATTCTTCATTTACATCTTAAATATTTTCAGGTGAAGTTTTATGATTTAAGTCATGGCCCAATGATTAATAAACTTTGTATTCAATGTTTTTAAATTGAACCTGTGTATTAATATGAGGTTTTTTAATCAAATGTTTTCTTTTTGCTAAAGACGCAATATCTGTTATTTTACATTTCAGTGCTTTAACCTGTCTTTCTGTTTCTTTTTTGTCTCGTTGGTATATTAAGTAGCCTGCTTTTTCACCAACCTTATCTTTTTGAGATATGAGCCATAATAAATCACATTGTGATACCCTAATAGCTTTAGAACAAATGCCTAAAATGTGAACTCCTGCAGAACAATTTTTAACCTCATTACAAGGAGAAATGAATAGGAATAGGAGAAAACTGGATAATTAAAAATTGAGAAGACATTAATAAAGTTTTGTTGTAAAGATGTATTTTTTTATCGTTTTGTTACAATTTTCAAGTTAATTTTTACACAAAAATTTTTTTTTAGTTGAATATTGCTTAACTTACCCCAACCCATAATAAAATCACTCCCCAAATGTAATTTTTAAAAATTTATCACTATGATGTACCCTATTGAGCAGCAACCATAATAGTATTTGTATAAAAGAGAAAGAGATGCAACTTTACAATAATGGAAATACAATAGGCAAAAGTCTAGCAAATGGAGCAGGTCCAACAATTCATTTTTGGACCTTGTTTAGAAGAGAAAGAGCAACATTAGAAGAATCAATCTAAATATAAAAGGAACTATAAATGGCGATAAATAGTTCTATGGCTATAAAGTGTTCTATAAAGGAACGAATAAGAGATTTTTAGAGGTAGAGGATGTGAAAAAATATAAAAAATGACAAGCATGATAAAGAGAGATAACCTTAGCAGATGCTAATTTAACAATTGATTATATATATGGTTTCCATAAAAGGTCAGTAGTGAACAAGACATAAAAAAGAGGACTCAGTGAGAGGGTTGCAATTCATTAATATAGGAATGTTGCAGTATTGCGATAGTTGTTTGCAGTAAACAGCTGAGTTTAATAAAGTGATTAATAAATAAAAAACTCTTCCAGAAACACCGTACAAACCAAAAATTGTAAAAAAGAATCTAAAATGCCAAACTTTGTTGAAAGCTTTAGATATGTTAAGAGCAATAGCTCTTGCCTCACCACCTCCATCTAATGCACGCTAAAATCTTTCAGTCACCTGTAATCAGCCATAAATAGAGAGGACTGAATACCATACTGATAGTCTGATAAAAAGTTATTTGACTCAAGATGGGGTGTTGAAATTTGTTGATCAAAAACTCAAAGACCATGGTAATAACAGAAAGAAGACTGATAGAACTATAACTTAAGTGGTCAGAATGTTCACAGTAGTTTTTGAAAATTGGAACAATAGATGCCATTTTCCAACAAGCAGGAAAACAAGACTCAGACCACTACTTATTAAATTGTTAAGACAGAATTGAAGAGAGCAAAATTGGCTAATTAGTCTACGAGTAAAATTATTATTTTAATCTAAAACAACCGCAAGAGAATAAAAAATTCTGCACTAATCAAAATTCAACAATCTACCTTCTTATCAAGCAAATTCTTTATGCACATATCGCCCTAGGTACAAGCAAACTATATGGCTCTAGGTACAAGAAATGATAGTCTCATGGAAAATATCATCTATTAATGAACCCTGATTGAAAGGAAACTTATTGAATATTGCATTTAGTACTTAAGTAAAAAAAATATATATACAAGAACTTAAAGAAAAAGCATTTTCTCTAGGATTGTAAAACAATCAAAAATATAAGCTGCAAAAATTTACTTTAAACCATCAAAAACCATTTTCTAAATATAACTTGCTGTAGCAATGCTTTCTATGAAACAAAATAGGATTAAAAAATAAATATTTTTATAACTATAACTCATCACCTTACTGAGAGGCGTTATTATTAATTAGCGTTACTTAGAAATTTATAGTTTTTAAATAAAGTGGTGTTGCCATAAGTTCACAAACTTCCCTTTTTTATATAAGTATATATATATATATATATATATATATATATATATATATATATATATATATATATATATATATATATATATATATATATATATATATATATATATATTTATTTAAAATTAGTAAAACATCAAATTTTAACAACAAAATTTATCTTAATAAAATTTGTTTACAAAATTAAAATATATTTACAAAATAACAAAACAAAATAAAAAATAATATATTAAAAAAGTAAACACTAAAGTACATCAATTGTACTTTAGTATTTTTTAATATATTGTTTTATAAAATATTAAAAAAAACTTATTAGTAAATTAATAAACTACAAAAATATTTATTGTAGATGTAGTTAAATGTTTTGTCACCACTCCTAATATGCCTTTTAAAAGAGCCTCTCCTCCAATACAAAGAGGGACAGACTTAGTCCAAATTTTTTTTGGGCCCACACCCTAAGGGATGACCCTAAGGGTCCTTTATTTATTCTACGATATTCTTAAAAAGCATTGTAAGAAAAAACTGAAAAAGAGGTAGAGAAGAATAAAAGAAATGAAGACATCACATAATAACACTACAAATCCATTTACTTGTTGCTGTTGTTACTGCTAATGACAGAATTGGTTTTCTTATTGTGCCAACCTCAGATAGCATTAACACAACTGTAGAAACTGTTTTTGTAATGTTATTAGCAAACACAAAAACTTTTACCTCAAATGCGTAGATTTCCAGATTCTCCTCAACTGATGACTTATGAATATAAAAGTAAATTTTAAATCATAAAAATTTACTAAATATAAACCATATTTAATTTTAGTAAAATTTACATCAAATTAGAGAACAAAAAATCAACCATTTGCTGTGATCGGACTGCTGTGGTGATGGTCGTTTATCAGTTAACCGCAGTGGTTAGTGATTGCGGTGTGCAGTGATGTATTGGCAGTGACAGCGGTTAGAGGTGTGCGGTGATCGTCAGTGATTGTCGGTTAGCGGGTTTTAGTTTTTAGACTATCACCGCAGAAGTCCGATCATCGCAAATGGTCGATTTTTTGTTCCCTTCATCAAATAGGATTTGATGTAAATTTTACAAGTATTGAGTCTAAATGAGCGTTTTCTGCTGCAGGATTATTTGTGAGGAAAATTCGTTTAGAGAATAAATGACATATTACTTAATTCGCTTTTTTTCTTTAAAGCTCTTTTTTGAATAATTATCAGTTAAAGATATTAGATCTAAATTTCAATCTAAAATTAGTTCAATCTAAATATTATAAAGATTTTATTTTGAAAAAAAAAAAAAAGTTTATACGAGTTTCTATGATTTATTTATCAATTTTTCTAGTAAATAATGCTTTTTACTAATTTTTCTTATTTTTTTATAAATTCACCTCCCCAAGGCTGAGAAGGCCACTACAGACGAGGAGGCTACTTAGTTGTGGTTACAAACCCTCTCTCAACTCTATAACTCCGAAACACAAATCTTGACAAACAAGGTTGCTGCATGGAGAAACAAGTTAGGCACAATACTACCAGGGACATGGTGGGAATCAAACTTGGAACCTTTTGCTTATGAAGCAAGCGCTCTAACACTACACCCCTACCTCATGATTTACCAGTAAATCTAAAAGTCGGTATAAGCTCAACCTTAAAACATTGTTTACAAAACAGCATGTTTATTACCTTTAAAAGATAAACCTTAGTAATTGTAAAAACAGTCTAAAAATTTACAATTAGAATATATATATATATATATCTATATATATATATATATATATATATATATATATATATATATATATATATATATATATATATATATATATATATATATATATATATGAATTTATAGAATATATGTATATATAATACATATATTCTATAAATAAATAAATTAATATATTATATTAGGTCGGCACATGGGAGGTTCAAATTCTCAGCAGGTTTTTTTTTTAAATTTTCTATTTTTTGAAATGCAAAAAAAAACAATTCTATATTTCTATTAATATTATAAATACTTCTTTTTTATTATGCGAAATTAAAATAAACTTTTACATTTACACAATTTTAAATTTACATTAGTTAAAAATAGCTACATTTTCTTTTTAAAAAAGTGCTGAAAGACTGCTTCTTGCCATTAGCTCAACTTTAATGACTGCAGTGAGTTCCATGCCAAACAAGCTCAAATAAGTAACAGAAGCAGTATAAAGTTCAATATTAACCTAAAACAGATTTTTTATCTTTTTAATTAGTGAAATGCATTTTAAAAAATTTTAAGTTTTATTTGTTTAAGTTAATTTAAACAAATATGTTATAATTTGATTTTAACAAAAATAGTGTTTTTCTTTTTTTTAGGTAAATTACTTTTTCTAGAACTAATGATTCTTACCGAAAATAAGCACCACTTTCACTTTCATTTAACTTTATTTAATTTTAATATAAGTTAACTTTAATAAATGACAAAATCATGTGAAGTAAAAAATCAAGTGGTGTAAAAAATCATGCGATGTAAAAAATCATGTAATGTAAAAAATCATGTGATGTAAAAAATCATGTGATATAAAAAATCCACAAAGAAAACAAAGATTAAGGTTAAATTGCAGATTAGAGAAGAAAATTAATTTTAAATAGTTATCTAACTTTAAAGAAGTTAAACAAACTCACCATATAATCATAATATAAATTCATCAAAAATCAAAACACCATATAATCAAAACTTTTGTAAAATTTTAATCTTTATTACTAACTTGACTTGAAAGTAAATCTAGTATCAAAATATAAATTATATTGACTTAAGAAAAATGGTGCTACCCGCTCATACCTAAAAACAACGTAAAAAAGTTTTAAAATAAGATGAAAGAAAAAATGTTTCACAACATTACAAGATGCATTGGAGTTATTTATTCTTAGTTAAATACTTATTTTAAATTCTTAATAGTTACTTTCAAGTCTAAAATACTATGTAAGATTGATTATATATATATATATATATATATATATATATATATATATATATATATATATATATATATATATATATATATATATACTAGGTGTGTTCAAAAATTAAGGTGACTTTTCAAATTTCGCTCAATTTTGACCAAAAGAACCGTCGCATGAGCATCGTTCAAGAACTGTTGAATGATGTCAACGACGATCCAGATTTACTAAAAAAGGGTCATAACTGGTGACGAATCATGGATATATGGTTATGATATTGAAACCAAAGCCCAATCATCCTAATGCAAGAGCCCAGGTGATCCAAAACTGAAAAAAGCGCGCCAAGTTCGATCAAATGTCAAAGTTTTGCTCACTGTTTTTTTTTCAATTACCATGGCGTAGTGCATCAGAAGTTTATTGATCGTACAACCATATGGTTGCACGGTCAAGTAGGTCAATCCTCAAAGCACTTGAAGAGAAGTGCTTTGAGGATTGGAAAAACCATTGGCATAAGTGTATTGTATCTGAGGGGGATTACTTTGAAGGGGACAAAATAAATATTGATAAATAAATAATTTTTCTTAAAAATACAAAGTCACCTTAATTTTTGAACACACCTCGTATATCTATATATATAATCAATCTTTTTTTTTTCTTCTTTTCATGAAAAACCATGAAGAACTAGATAAGCATGTAGGTATGTATATATACATATTTTTGTTTATTTAAACTAATTTAAATTTTAAACTGTAGATAAAAACATCTGATGTTAGAACATCGCGATGCCATTCAAGTGGTGATCCTCATATTACAACTTTTGATCGATTTTATCATGATCACTATTATGTAGGGGATTATGTTTTAGTTGAAAGTAAATCACGAAAATTTAGGGTAAAAAGTTTTGTTTTTAGTTTCTAAATACTTTAAAATTTGAAAAACAATAATAATATCATGCATAAATACTCATAATAATCATAATTATCAAATTCAACTTAACAATTACTTTCTATATTAACATAGGTGCATGCTCAAACATTTGCATGGGGTTCAGTTGCTGGTAACTGTGGTGTAGCAGCACAAGAAGGTGATGATGTTATTGTAATAGATATGTGTAGAGATAATGTTCCACGAGCTCGCTTTGCCAGTACTGTAGAACCTCAACATGGAACAATATTAACAAGAGATAATAATGGAAAATATTTTATGGTGTGATTTTAATTGTTTCTTTTAAATTAAAACTTTATCTCTTTTTAATTTATTTTTAACTTATCTTTTAAATAAAAAAAATTGCTTTAGGTCAAGTCGTATTTGTGAATCTTTTATGTGTAAACCTAATTTTACACTGTGGCTATTTACACATACTGTTTGTATACATAATTGACTGTAATTAGCAAGTTAGCATTAACCTTATCCTAAATTTATACCCCAGTAAAAGTTCATATTTTTAAGTATACTTGAAACACTGACTATTTATGACCTAAATAACTAATTCCTGGTGTTAATTTTTTTATGCATCTAAAATACAGTAGTGTTTCAATTAGGGAATTCAATTAGGATGTTAAAAAAAAAAATTTTGCCTGGTTTTTAGGATTTTTGGTAAATAATGACCTAGCCACTATGACATGCTAATTACTAAATAAAAATTTTACAAAAGTAAAAGTAAAACAAATTTTTCAAGAAATAAAAAATAAATATGTTGCATTAAATCCAATTTAAATTATTTTTCAATTATTTTAATTTATTGGATAACTAGGTCAATACTTTTTTTTATAAGCAATATAGTTACCATATACAGTATACTAATAAACAAAGAACAAAACTAAAAATTATTACTTATACAAACTGTAGTTATTGTATATACTGTTAAGCAAGTAACAAAACTAAGTTTTTTTTTATTTATAAACAATATATTGAACAACATGCTGACCAAAAGTACTCAGGTCTTCAAGTAGAATCTTTTTTTACAGTAAAAATTTGTAGTTTATATGGATATCCATCATTTCCACATAAAGCCATCAATGGCACCATCAACTCATCTATGCTTAGTTTTCATGAAATATTCCCCATTTACTGTTCATTTCAGGTTTCATATAAAAATGACATACTCCATAGCTAACGTCCTAATGTTTGCATATGAGATCATTTTATTTTAATCTAATTATTTTTCTATTTATAGCTTGCATATCAATATGAGTAAATAATATGTTGTATTTACAACTGGGAATAATTATTTTTTGCTCAAAAAAAAATTATTCAAATTTTTGGAGTTGAGTTGTGAAGATTCAACTTGAGTGGTGCCAAAACTCCAAGATTTTGTGTTTTTAATAAATTTGAATAATATACTATTTTCATGCAAATCTTACCAAATTTTGATATAAATAAGCAATCAACATTCAAATTAAAGATGATAATGTGTAATTATGAAAACACAAAATAATAAATTAATTTGAATTTTATTTTTTGTGCTTTGTTCCTAAATGGGAACATTAGGCTGAGATTACCTTGGACAGGTAATCCTAATGTATATTCATCTAAATTCTAAATTTTATTGCCTTTTTATTTAGATTAATATTTAGTTATGTATTATAAATTATGATTTGTTTTAATATTTTAATTTTTTAAAGATAAAATTTCCCTCTGGTGCTTATGTCAAGTTTGATACAGATGGTTTTTTTGCTAATATTGAAATTCAAGTACCCTCTGATGACTTTCAAAATACAGAAGGTTTATGTGGGACTTTTGACAATAACCCAAACAATGATTTGAAACCCAAAGGTGGGCAAGAAAAAGCTACATATCAGGACTTTCAGAACAGTTGGAAGTACATGTTTTACTTTTTTTGCAGCATGTTTTATTTTTGTTGTTGTTTATTTTCGCTCAACAAAAATAAGTTTTCATTGAAATACTGTTAATTTTGAAGTAATAGATTATAAAATTCATAAATTTTTTTTTTCTTCTTTTTCGGTTTCTCATAATTGATTTTATAATACTATTGTAGATTAACATCTGCTGAAAGTTTGTTTTACTTTGAAGGAGGACCCCGCAAATGTACAGCAACACGCGCTAAGACTTACTGTATATGTTATGAACCACTTAATGGGTCTCAAAGAAAAGTCGAATGTAATTTTGAAGGATATGTTGATCGTCCTAAATACGAAAGTGAAAATAAAGGCTGGAAAACTTTAGAATTTTTTGGTAAATTTTAAAAGTTACATATACAAGTTTTTAAAATTAAAATTACTGAAGTGTGTCATAGCATCAGACAATTTTTTGCTTTGTAAGTTTAGATTTATATGTTGAAATATTTTAGGAGCTGAACATTGTGGTCGTCGTAAACGCAGATCTATGGATGACAATGTAGTTATACTTCCAGATGATGGTAATACAGGAATTTATGACTACAATCCTGTTCAGGTTTCTGGTAGAGTTCCCAATTTTCCAACAAAATCTGGTATCACTGAGAGTATAGCAAAAGGTGTATGTAAAGACAAAATAAGGAATTCAATTATTGGCAGAACCTGTATTGATTTCATTGGACCATCTTTTGTAACTGATAGTTATGAGCAACAGTGTGTGATTGATATTCAGGTAAGAATATGTGACATCATAAACAAATCTAAGCTAAATTAAAATTTCTATTTCTTGGATCTATTCTCAACTAAGTTTTACTTTTCAAAAAACCTAATATCTTATAATCAATTTTATCTAATTTATATTGCAGCTCACTTTATTATCTTATTATTTTTTTAAACAATTTCTTCTTGTGACTTCATTGTGAAAAGTACAGCAAGTACTCACTTCCACTTTTTTAATAATCGCATTGTCAATGCATGGAACAGTCTACCAGATAAAGTAATAGATTTTCCAACTGTCAACAGCTTTAAAGCGAGCCTCGATAAGCTCTAATGTTACTACAGCTCGCAGCTTTCCTTAGTGAAAATAGCAACATGAGCTTCACAAAAACTAACTGTAATCTGACAATCTATGATTTGTATTTTATCAATTATTTTTACTTTTGTTGTAACAAATATATACTACTACTACTACTACTACTACTACTACTACTACTACTACTACTACTACTACTACTACTACTACTACAAATTTCTTATCTAAATCTTTTTTTGTAATACAGTATTCTTTGTTTTCTCACTAACATCAAATGTCAACTAAAAAGTCTGGTTATTTCATATTTCATGTTTGTTTTTATCCATGATATCTATTTGTTTAATTTATTATTATTATTATTATTATTATTATTATTATTATTATTGCTATTATTATTATTATTGCTATTATTATTATTGTTATTATTATTAGATTTATAATATAGACTAATATCTTATATTATTATACTGATTTATAATATAGACTAATATTTTATATTATTATAATATAGACTAATATCTTATATTATTTTACTGAATAATATCTTATATTATAATAAATTTATAATATAGGCTAGTATCTTATATTATAATATATTATATTGTTATACAGATTTGTCATTCGGTAAAATATAAATTTTGACTCAAAACATATCAACCAAAATAAGCCATAAGTTAATTTTGCATTTTAACTTTTTATATATCATTATAAGTCTTTAAATGCTGAAAATATCATACATTTTTTTCCCACTCTCATGTACCAAGTGAAGTACAACTGTACTACTTTGCTTCATTATATTATAAATATTTGAAAAACTCTTTTGAATAATTTTTACTTAAAGTACATAAAATTTTAGGTAACAGACAATGAAGTAGTTAGTATTGAGTCTGCTGTTAATAACCTGATGAGAGCTTGCGAAGAACTGACTTTGAGAAATCTATCATTTTGGATGACTGCTGATGGCAAAGTTGCTGGGCCACCAACAAAAATTGCAGAAAGTTTATGTCCTAATGAGTGTAATGGAAATGGAGCATGTCATAATGGCACATGTGTCTGTTATGCTGGTTTTATAACAGGAGATTGCTCTATGAAAGAAGGTTTATTTGTATTTGTTATATTGCACTTGTTTGTATTTGTAATTTTACAGTTAGGTTTATTGATGTAAATTATTATTTAATAAAATAAAGTGTTTTTAATATTTTAACAATAATTTTTTTCTTTATTAAACCTTAAGCTCCCTTATCCTAAGAATTATTACCAACCATATAGGACAACCACCTATTTTATTTGGAACACCAGTCTTCTGTGATATCCGAAGTCAAGATTGTATACGTACTCGTCTGATTGGAAAGGACTTTATTGATTCAAGTTCTCTTTCATGTAAAATGACAGAAGTCAAGGTAAAATATAATATTTTTTCAGCATAACTTTTTTATTGTATGTGATTTAAATACATTTTAAAAAACTTTTTAAAGAATTTGTTATTCTAAATCATGGCGTTTTAGAAATACCTTGACAGCTCAAAATCTTTTGACTGTATCATTTGATGGCGCAATATCTTTTGACTGAAGGCTGATTATATATAGCTAGAGTTATATGCTAATGAACTATTTGTGTTTTTAATCAGCTGCATTTAATCAAATTGGTCTAAACACACATTTTAAGCGGTTGTGTACTGTTTTTAACCTAGCAACTAGAAAGTTTACAGTTTAAGCCTAACCATTTTGTAAAGAACAACATATTTATCTCACAAAAAGTTATCAATTACCATTGTTGCATGCCATGCTGTAATAGTGGTTATGTTTCATCAACTACAAAGGTATCCACTCATCAATTTTTTAGTGATGAATTCAAAAAAAAAAATTGATAAAGGCTATCTTGAGGAAAATCTGATTGTAAAAAAGTACACTGTTGTGTTACAAATTCATTTGCTTATAAATTGAAAATCTTTTACATTTTATCTTGGAAAAGAACATCTCACAGTGCCACCTATTGTCTTACTAGTGTTTAGAAGGAGGTACACTATCCTAGTGTACCTCCTTCTAAACACAGAAAAATAAATTGTAGTTATCTAGTATAAGAAATACAACATAAGATGAACTAGATAGCTTTAGAGATCATGATTTTTTCTATTTGATAGTATAAAGGATAGACTTTTGCATAGTAATGATTTTATTGTATACAACATCAATGGTAATCATGATATTGTTTACATTCAGTTAAAAGCGTTTGTATGTGGTATTGCAAAGTAATTTAGTAATTCTTAATAGGGATTTAATGGTAACTTAATTTTATTTTGGATCATCTTGTAGCATTTAAATTCATTCATTCTTGGTTGGTCTTTGATGAGATCATACATTACCTACAGAAAAAAGATATTTGTTATAAAAAGAATTGAATTATTTGAATATGTAGACTGTTTGTCTCAAAAAAAGTGTTCAATTTTACTTACTCTCCTGATATAATTATTCAAATGTCTGTTTAATATTTTAATGTATAATTTTTATGTATAATTAATATTTTGCTACATCCAGGTCTCTGTGCAGCCACATTTCTAATAACTATAAATTACCAAGTATTAGAACTTTGACAAGAATCACTTTAAAAGGCAGATCACAAAATTGTATAAATTTTAAAAAAAAGTTATGATGAGTATTAAAAACACAATTTAAATGTTTATTCCTGGTTGATAAGTAAAGTTTAAGAAAAACTTTGGTGCAGAAATAAGGAAAACAATTTTTTATTGTTTGTTTATGTTCATGTTATGAAGTGTTTTCTTAATAATTGGTTAACTAGAGAAAACATGGAGTTAGTTTTTGAGTTTGATGGTAACAAACAATTAGCAAAATGAAGTAATTTAATAAATCTTTTTAAGTTGGAGCCTGCTCAATATTTTAAACTTAGCAAATTAAATCAAATTTCATATTACCAATTGAGATGCAGAAAACTTATTTATGAGTTTTCTGTTTTGAAGTGATTGCTATTCTTAAAAACATTAAGTTATTGGCACAATCAAATATATTTCTATATTTGTGAAGTTTTGGAAAGTTTGTAATGTGAAAGGTGTTAAACAAGATATTGTGTATAAAGATGAGTACCTTGCAGTTATAAAATCAAACACAGATAAAAGCCTGCTATTAATTGTAGCAGAAATGGTTGCAAGAATGAAAAATTCAGGCCCAAAGTGTATAATAATCTTTAATAGAGAAACCTGATTACAAGTTAGCCTCAGAACCATAAAACTGAGTTTTAGAGCTGTACCCTCATTAGGAGATAATAAAATGAGTTACCTAGTCATAAAAACAGAGATACATGCCAAACCCATGCTTTGAGTCAAGAAGATCCAGCATTAAGCAGTATTAAGCAGTTTACAAAAGATGCTTCTGAATGAAACTTTTTGGAGCACTTAGTAACAGTCACAGAAAAGAATGAGGCTTTTACTATGGCTCTTCCTAAATGCTCCAAAAATTCTAATTCATCTAGTTTTTTTCCTCAAATATCAGTTTTTTGGAATTCACTCCCTTCAATTTAATGATTAACACATGAATGAATTTTGAAAGATGGTACAAGAGTCAATAGCTTTCAAGAGCAGCACCCATTACAGTATTGTAGAATGAGAAAAACTAACATTACAATGATATGACAATGGTTAAAGGTTGGTTAAAGGAGAAAGGGCATTATTTGAAGATCCACTTTAGATATGGCAACAGTATTCCATACAAAGATGGATTTATAATTTATAGAGATAAAGACTAGAATCCAGATTAAAAAAGTGCCAAGCACGATAAAGAGATGCAACCTTAGCAGATGCTTTACAAAGTTTATGAAATTTAAGCAGAATCATTACTTTTGCTTTTGATATATTGTTATGATTATGTTCAAAAAAAAAAAGGCTATATAATTCTGATATGGAATTTTTTTTATAAAAAATGTGGTGCCTTATATGCTTGTATGTTTGCTGCACAGAAAACATTTGCGATATGATTTCCATAATTTAGAAAGAGTCCTTAATCCAAGTACAAAGGTAAAAAAAATAGTTTTATAAGTTGAAATAACATAATAAAAGAAAATGAAAAATAACTTAAAGTTACAAAAAAGAGTATTTAAACTATATTTTTTTTCAGCTTAAGGTTGCTATATTTATATTTACTGATATTTTTTATATTATTTGGTATTATATACTAACATTTATTGATATATGTTAAAGTTAGTTGTGTTTTTTTAAAAATAAGTTTTTACATATAAAATAGTTTCTTTTGATTTTATGACTAACTATGGCTTTTTATGGCTGTTTTATGACTGTTTTTATATTATTTGTTTTTTTGCTTAAAAAAAAAACCAGATGAAATGGTGTTGATGAAACAGCGTTGGTTTTTTGCTTATAAAACACAGATAAAATGGTGTTGATTTTTAGAAAATATAGTAAAATTTTTTCAAGATGTGCATATTTTAAAGTTTATATGCTGTGTTATTTGTAATTTTTTTTCCAAGATGTCTGTGTTTTAATGTTAGTATGTTGTGTTATATGTAACCATTTTTGCATCTAATATTTAATGTAACCTTTCAAAAATTAAGAAATTTATTTTTAAAAACAAATTTTTACTATGCACAGAAATTAATTAACAACTAAACAAGTTAAAACAAACCTTCTGTCTCATAGAGTTTCAGAAGGTTTTTTCGAAATTCAGGAAAATATATTACATTTACAATAAAAATAATAAAAACTTTCAAAAAATTAATTAAAAATTATAATGAAAACATTAAAAATTTATGTTAAGTTTTTTTTTTTAAGGTTTCTGAAGTACCTTACAAAAAAACCATTAAAGCATTTATCAATAAAGGACAGCTTCTTAGTTTTGCTGAAATAAGTTGCCTTCTGCCAACAGTTCCTGTTAATATTGAATACTCCTCTAATAAACCAGGGAAACCTGTAGGTGGTTATGCAATCAGTGTATCAAACAACAATCAAAATTTTAGTGACAATGAAACTTTATTTCTTGTATATGATTCCAAATGCATGGAATGCACAAACAAAGACATCAAATCATGTAAATGGAAGGTAAAGAGTATTATTTTTTTTAGTTTCTTAAATTTATTTAAACATAAAATATTTACGCTAATAAATGTCTTTCATACATAGATAATGTCTGTCAAGCCCAAACCCTTAGTTAATGTATTCATGTCATAAATTGAAGATGTACTCAAGGTCTGAAATGAAATAAATTCAGGGGCATTGTGGCACCAGAGGTCATGTGGGGTTATCGCATGTGCTTTTCACTTTTTTGTCTTAATATGTTCCTTTTGGTACTTTCTGATCTAAATAATTTTTTAATCTCTTGTAACCTGCATTAAAAAAGTTAAATAGGTTTTAAAGCAAAGAGAATAGTTGCTGAATGGAAGGATGATTAATGAGGCTGCAGTTGTCAATAATGGCAAAGCTAAGACAATGAGAATGATACCATATGTGTTGACTCACATTTTGAGTAGCTTTATGAAAATGGTATGCAAGTTTTGTCATAACTGACACACCATCAAAACAATGAGCAATACAGTTTGCTTTCTAGTCAAGGTTTGTTTTGTCCGACATATTAGATGTCTGTAAATAATTGTGTTAATTCTTCCATGAGTGATTTCACACACAATTATCAATTTCTCTTCAATGATATTGTGTAAGGGAGCATAAAAAACCTAACCATCAATTGCTTCTTGGTGTTGCTTCTGGATGGTACAAATTACAAGACACAACTGTTTGCACAGAGCTACATCTGTTGTTGAATCAGCTTGTATACTAAAAATATCATTTTTATTTATTAGGCTAATAGTTTGCTTTTGTATTTCAGTACTGAAACTTTCAGTAGTACATCAAAGGTCTAGTTAAGTGAGGCCAGGTAATTTTTGATCCCCTGCCAACTGCACCGGATTTTACACTAAACTTATGTTTTTGCGATGTCTTTTTGCTGGCTGACAGCTGTCTCAAGTGTTCATTAAGCATTGGATCTCCTATTATTAGAAGTTTTAACAAGGCTTGAATGTTTTGATGTTGCAAATAAGGCTGCAAAATGGCCGTAGCATTTTTGTTTTAATGTCCACACCATGGTAGGCCTTAGATAACAAAAATATGGAAAGCTTTTATTATGCTTTTTAAAACAAAATGGTTTTGGTCCACAACTGTTTTAACACCTTTTCCTAGAAATTGACGAGTGGATTTTCTTGCTTTAGAGAAAAACGGTTTAATGCTGCAGAGTGGGCAACTGATACTTCATGTCTATTAATATTGAGAAGATGGTGTGATCTGCCAGTTGGGTCTAACAGGTATTCAGTCAAAAAAAGTGTTCTTAGCATCGCCATTAAAACATACACATAAACTGCAAAAAAATATCTCTCTCTCCTTGTTAAAGCTGAGCCAGGTACGAACTGTTTCATCTGGTTCATTATCAATATTGCACTTATAACCTCTGGATACTGTGTTTTTTACAGAGCTTGGTTGAATTAGATGGGTACAAGTTATAAAACTTACCTCTTGTCCTGTTGCTGGCCTTTGCCAAAGTTTATTTGAATTATCTATGTTATCTAATGTTTGGAGGTAATACTAATAGGAATACTAATATGGCCAAATGTTTTTGAAATTAAAAAGTAAAGTAGTTAGCTCGTATGTTTCAAAGTATTTGTTGAATCACAAGGTGCAGAATTATTTGATGATGATGCAAAGAAAGTTTTTTGTCCTTTAGCTAAGCTTGTAATTTTTCTTTCTTCTTTTCCCATCCAGATTTCTGTTTTTACATATTTTTCTAAGAAAAAAATTTGCAAAATGCTAAATCAAAAACTATTACACATATTTTTAATTACACAATTAATTTAAATTGCAAATTTTAATTTAATAAAGTTTACTATACATTTACAATTATAAATGAACATGAAAATTAAAATACCTTTCAAATCCTTTGTTTGAATCTTTATTGAAATATTATAATAAAAAAGATCTTATTTGTAGACTAAATTAAAATACCTTTCAAATCCTTTGTTTGAATCTTTATTGAAATATTATAATAAAAAAGATCTTATTAGTAGACTAAAGTCAATTTTCACAAGTATTTATACATGTCAAATACAATTAAAGTAACCATAAAATTACTCCCCGCTATCAAATAAAATAACTTATTGAATTGCATACTTTTTTGATATAATAACGCCCACGAGTTTCAAAATATATAAAACATATAATAACAAATATTTGAAAATATGCTTATTAGATCTACCACTTTATGCATTTGGCAACACAATTTTATTACTTTTATGTATTCATGAATGTTTAAAATAAATTAAAGGTTCCATTACTTTAATTTTTTTGTTATCATTTATTAAATTTTGATTTATTTTCAAAATTAAAAAACAAATAAATTATCAGAAAAGTACGAAAAACACTTTTTAATTAAGTAACTGCTAAATCAGACTAAGTCAATATAAGTCAAACTAATCAATATAAGTCTTCTATAAAATATATAACTAATCAATATAAAGACTTTTTTATCTTTAAAGTATGCCAATTACGAGACCATTTTTAGAGCGCTGTTGTGTGTTTATGCTCTATAAAATAGCTAGTAAAAATGCAGAATCAAAGAAACGTAAACTATCTGTGGAAAAAACTTCTTATTTTTAAAAGAAAATATTGTTTTTTAATTTTTTTTTATATAAAATCTAAAACAATTTATATTGTAACAAAAAAAAATATTTAACATTACTTAATGAAACTAAAATTTTTGATTTTTAATTTTATGTATAGTTATCCATCATATATGGTAAAATCTCGCATATATATGCTTTTAATAAAATCCCACATGGACCTTTTAGAGCCACCATGCCCCTGATGAAGTATGTATTTAGTAATTCTAAATCAAAAATCAAAAATTTTTCAATAAAATTAGTTACAAAATCTTGTATTGGTTGTATAAAATCTAATATAAAGTTGACAGAATAAGTATACAATTTTTGACAGAATAGTCAACAACTAATTAACATTTTTATATATTTTCTGTTTTTGATGTTGTTTATTTCTACCCATCCATCAATGAAAAACATCTTAACAATGCTATCAGTTTTGCTGAACAACAAAAAAGGTTTTCAGCAAAATTTTAAGCTATGTTGTGAACCCACAATATAACAACAATAAATACTAGGCTTTAATCAAATATAAAGTCATAACAATGTTAATCTAAGTAAAATGCAATACTAGAATTAATGATAGAACATAATTAATATATATGGTTCGCTGAAGTGTCTTAAATGACGAAAAATGACATCACGTTTTCAGAATGTGCTATAAATACAACAGTCTTCTCCAATTCTGAATTAGTCCATGGGAATTATTTCTATCAATATGAGAAATGCTAATAAGTATTGTATTTGTTTAGACATTTAGGTCTTTAAATATTTTGTCCTACTTTTGAGAATGTATTGCTTTGTATTTCTATGGTAGCAGGGCTTTGAGTATTAAACTGGACAGGTATGCCTACTTCTGGTGCTTTGGTATTTTTGATACCATCCATTATCGACTTCTCAAGTATACTAGGTGAGGTTGGAACTACTTCACTGGTTTCCTTTAATACATACTGCTCTCCATTTGACTGATCGCAGGTATCGGAAGCAAAGGTCCTTTGGTCTTTATTTTGCTGCCTGAATCACTGCTGCGCCGAAATTGCATAGCTACCTCACTCTGCTGATGAATCTAACTCATGAAGTGGAGCAAGGTCTTTGGTTGATAATGTATCAATCTTTCCACTTTGATATTTGATGTAAGCTAAATAGGGAGATATAGTCTTTACCAGCTGGACTTGTCAACAAGTGGATCGCCCTTTTGCCTGATCTGTTGTCTATAAAGTATTGCGGAGTCCTATTCTGTTAAAAAATCTTGTAGTACTGTACCTACTATAGATGATCGTTGGAAACTCATCATTCTCTGATGTGGTATTTCATTGGTAGTGGTACACAGTAGTCCTCTTACTGAAGATAGAGTCATTTGTAGAACTACTTCCCACTTTTCTTTTCCCAGATTTAACATTTTTAGGGCTAGACTGACACTTTTAAGTAAAGTCCTATTTGTTCTTTCACATTGCCCATTGCCTTGTGCGTGGTAGCGAGTGGTTCTAGTTTTGGTGACACTATTTCTTTCAAGAAATTGTTTAACGCTTTCACTGGGTCCCCTGATCAGTGTGTATTGAGGATGGCGAACCAAATAACAAAAAAAGGCTGCAGAGACGACTTATAATTGTATCTGCAGTGATATCGTGACAAGAAGAAGCAAATGGATATCGCGATTATTCATCAATTACCACAAGGAAGTATTTTTTTGCTATAGTGGTTTGCAGGAGACCAATAAAATCCATGGATAAATGTTCCCATGGTCTTGTTGCCTGAATAAGACAACCTCATAGAGGTTTGTAAAAACACAGTTTGAGTTCATTACATGTTGTAGACTGTTTTGGTTAATTGCTTGATTTCAGTGGTCGAGTAAGGCAGATTTCGAGTTTTACAGTAATATAACACTCTTTTCATTCCTGGATGACATAGCTGAGCGTGGATATCGTGAAGTGTTTTCAAAGCACTTTGTATGGAACAACATCAGTATAGGGCGTCAGCAGCAATATTTTCACGGCTTAGTTTATATGAGATTTAAAGATAAGAGAAATTGAACTTTGGTCTGTGGTGATATTGATGTTTGGAACCAAGTTAATAAGGTGCCTTCATCTTCTGCAGCATCCCACTATAGCTGCAGCTTCTTTCTCAACAATTATGTGTTTCGTTTCAACATTCTATTGTGTCCTTGAGAAGAAAGTTATAGGCCTACTAAGCTGTAATAATATTCCTCCTAGAGCTTTTTCATAAGCATCTGTTTCCATAGTTAATGGAAGCTTAAAGTCAGGGGAGGCCATGCAAGCCTGTACTCTTGTCTTTGTTATCTGTACATTTTTCTATAACCATGGCTAAATTTAGGTTTTACTATCTGATTTCAACATACAGACGCTTGCCCAGTGACCTTTTTTTGACAATTTGTGCAGGTAAAGTTTTATGCTGGGCATTTTTTTTTTTGGGTTTAACTTACCACCACACCAAAAGCAAGAGGTTTTGGTAATTGTTTGATTTTTTGTAGCTCCAAAACTTGGTAGTACGATTGTAGCAGTCCTGGTTGTAGTTCTTAGATTGAGAGCATCTTCAGCGGCTAGTTCCATAGTAAGGGCTATTTTATAAAGTACATCTAGGTTCTCCTCTGTAGATTTGAGTAGGCGCTGTCAAATAGTAGGGCAAGTTTATGCCTGCAATAAAAGCATCACATTAACAAACTTCTATGTTGATTGGCAGTAAGGGACTGTCTCGTACACTTTCTGGCAAACTACTTGAGGTTAGTCATAAAGTTTTCAACTGATTCTCCCCCTGTATTGCTTAAGTAATTGAAGTTTGTAAAGCAACATGATTGCTGTTGATTGTTCTGAAATTTATGGTCAAAAATTGCTATTGCCTTTTCATATAAGGTTGCATCTTGAATTATGGTAAAGGCTTTTACTCCACATAAAACAAATAAAACTTCGAGTTTTATTTGTTTTATGTGGAATAAAAGCCTTTTACTCCACATAAAACTTTACCTGCTTTCATTGGGTATATCTGCTTTTTCTAGATATATTGCTAACATCCTCTTCCAATAAATATAATCCTTCTTGTTCAGTTTGTCACCGAGTACTTTGTTGAATATTTTTGCATCCATTTTTTTATTTGCATTTGATCAAATATTAGGCTTTAATCAATAATCAGTACAATAACAATGTTAATCTAAGTAAATGCAATAGTAGAATTAATGATAGAATGCAATTATTATACATGGTTCGCTGAAGTGTCAAGGCTTAAACGACAGCAAATGACATCACGCTTTCAGGATGCGCGATAAATACAACAAGCAATAAATTTCAAAACTAATAAAAAATAACTAACATTTTGGTAATTATTTTTATATATAATAACTAATGATTTTTTAATGTTTCAAAAATGTTTGAATTAATTGTTCATTTTAAGCATGAACCCTTGCTCGTTGACTCATGAAAGTTTTAATTTTAAAAAGCAAGTACCAATTTTTTCTTTTTAATAGTGGTTTAATATAAAAAAGCAAGCAAAAAAAGGAATTAAAACAAGAGCTTCAAAAACAAATAGTCTTCTTGTGATTTTTAAAAATAAAAAAAAATTAGTTTATATTTGTTGAGTTTTTTGCTGCTAATCATTATCAAAATAAAGTTAATATAATGAAACCCTCTTATTGAGCCTTTAATTCATGACTTTTTAGATTTTTTGTTATTAGTGACATCTTATAAACCATATATCTAATTTATTTGATATCTTGTTTAGTTGATATCTAGTTTGGTTGTCTCACTTTATCTTGCTTGCCTTTTTGTTTTGCTTATATTAGTTCCGTTCCCTACCTCTAAAATTCTTTTATTTTTGCTTGTATGGAATACTTGTAACACATTTGAGCTTTTTTTTCAATTTTGTTTTTTTTTTAGACAAGGTCCATAAATGTATTGTAAATTTAGTTGGACCCGTTGTAGTCTCTGTCGCATTGTTGTAAGTTGCATCTCTTTTCTACAAATACTAATATAGATATTGCTTAAGTGAGCTAATTATATCTTGTTCCACCTTACAAAGCACAATCTTCTGTGACTTATCCTTTAACAAAGTTAATCTAACTGCCCATTAATGAATGGTGTCATAATATTTGATTTTTATTTAAAAAATTGTTTTTATAAAAAAACCAGTATTATTTATTGTAATTGCATTTTACCTCATTCACAGATACTGCTTTGCATCCACCTTACTTTTTAGGTGAACATTTGTTTACAACTACTCCCTTTAAATTCTAAATGATATAAAAATGATAAAAAGTTGATCAAAATTGTCAAAATAATAATTTTTTTTTTAAATTTGGATAAAAAATAAAATAATAAAACTTGCTATTTTAATAATAAAATAAAACTTTCAAAGTATTGCTATCATCCAAAAAAAGAAAAAAAACCAAATCAAAGTTTTCTGGATTTATTGGTTGAAAAAAAATGCCAGTAATGGAGTTACAAAATCTAAGAAATCTTCTTAATAAAGTCTCTGTTTTTACAATAAAAAAACAATAAAAACAAAATAAATTATCCAATAAAGTACTTAATGAACAATATTTTCTTAAATTTAATTGATAAGTGGATCCATGCCAATGCTTTATTTGTACATCCTGTACTCTCATGTGTCAAATGAGGGGTTGGGAATTTTAGTCAAGATTTAATAGCCAAGGCAGTTTTAAAAAGCGGGTTACTATATTTTACAGAACACTCATAAAGCAATTTAATTCAAGTGCGGCTTGCATCATATTAACAGCTGAACTCAGATTTATTGAGCACGCGAGAGTAACACATCACTACAATATTGGTTGATGATTGAAATGTAGCCAATCTGGTTGCCAGGGGAAAAACAAGTTTAACAAATAAAAATAGATTTTTGGCTAAACTGGATTTTGAAATGTTTTAAAAGTTCAAGGAGCTGATACAAAGTACTAAAAGGTTTTATACTTGACTTCTTTATTGCATTATGCATAACAACCAAAGCTTGACATTGTATTAAGCATAACAACCAAAGCTTGACATTGTATTAAGCATAACAACCAAAGCTTGACAATGTATTAAGCATAACAACCAAAGCTTGACATTGAACTTAATTTTATTGCAAGATTGTCAGGAACTGTAAATTCGGGCATAATTTTTTTAACGACTGAGTAGTCAACAGCTGCCAAAACAATGAAGTGCTATTTTTTACTTGGTAATATGTTAACCCATTATTTTTTTAACGCTTTTTAAAGATAATTCAACACTCTCTTCTTGTCCTCAAATTAAAAAATTAAACAACTTTATAATTAGTTGTGAACTCTATGTGTAGCTTGATCTTGGGTTAGAATATATAAAATGAATAATATATTTTTATTATACGTTATAAATTAATATGTTGGTTAGTGGTTAACTGTATTGATTATGTTAAGTTATGCTAGTTTGAATTTATTCTAGCTTTAACTCTCTAAATTATAACAATAATTGATCATGAACATGATATTGCTGAAGACTGATTTTTAAATATTGTATCATTATTTAGGACAATAGCTGCAAAATTAATGAATACTGCTTTGTTGCAAATGAAACTAATCCTGAACAATGGTGTGAAGTTTGCAATCCAGTTTTAAGTCGGAATTCCTTTTCTAAAAGAATAGGTGAGTTTTTAAAAACAGGTGTTTAAATATTTTTCTACTATCGTTGAGTTAACTGATTTATTAATTAAAAATATTGTATAAGAATCTTGAAAGATTTGTTTGTTACAAAACTAAAAAATTGTTCAAAATAAATTTTATAATTTTTTTCGTAAAATATTTATTATTATTACATCTTATTAAAGTTATCTATCAACTGATATTTTAAATATATTCAGTTCAATAATAACTCATTATTTTTTATTTTTTTAAAGATAACCTCGCTCCATCATTTAAAAAAGATACACCGAGGCTTTATGCGCTTAAAGGTCAACAATGGAGATTTGTGGTACCAGCTTTTGATCCTGAAAATTACAATATGAGGTATGAATTTGAAGGTAAAAATCATGGTATGAAAATTTCATCTATTGGAATTATAACTTGGAGCCCTGATAAAATTGGGAATTATTCTTTTGTGGTCAAAGTTACCGATCTTTGTGGCTTGTCCAGTTCTAGGCATTTTGAGGTTGAAATTGTGGAATGTTTTTGTGAAGGTAAAATTGGTGGAGGTTGTATTTGGCAGAAAAAAACTGGAAATATGAGTTCCTCTGAGTGTCAGTGTCTAAGTGTATGTACTGGAGAAGGGTATGCTCCTAAATATAACATTTGGGATTATTTTCTTGACATTCCAAAAAAAATTAGAGAAGTCTTTCGAAAACCCCTTTAGTTGTAATCATCGTGGATTTAGGTGTGTTCTTATCGATTGTTTTTGCATCAGCACATGTTTTATTTTGCATCAGCACATGTTTTATTATCTTTGAAGAAAAGCAACAAAAAAAGTTAACATTAATAATGTTTTTAAAATTGTTGGTCTTTTAAAAGATTATGAAAAATTTTTAAAAAGGTTTTATGACCTATATCTATGATTTTGTATGTTTTTTATTCTGTTTATAAAATGTTATTACTATTTGTTATGTTTATTATGACTATTTTTTTTCTTTCAGTGACCATAGCAACATAACTTTAACTTTGTAATAAATCCCAAGAATTTATATTTAGATCATCAAATCTTTTTTTGATTGTTCAAGTTTTGTTAATTTTTTTGAGGAGTGTTCGGGATTTTTTCGTATTCAAGTTTTCGGTATGACTAATTTTTATAAAAAAGAATTCGTAAATGACATGATTAATTTTTTAATAATTTAATAAGAACAACTTAATAAAAAAAAGCACACTAAATCTTATCCTAAATCTTATTTGAAAAAGACAATAAGAGGAGAGCAACTTGGTTGGGGTCAAATATAATTGATCAAATAAAAATACGTTAATTCTTGATTTCCATATACATAGTCAAATATAAATATATGCAATCGGCATTTTCTAAATACAAAGATTTTTTTTATGACATGACTAATAAAATAGTAAATAGAAGAACAAAAACAGGTCCTCTAACAAATATCTCTAAAGCACAAATTTTTAATTTACTTAATGTTAAAAATGAAAAAAAAAACCTCTTGTTTTTTTCCTCCCAAAAAAATACTGATTAACCTAGTTGATGAAATTACAATTACATTTCAATCAAATACTGCAATTTTTTAAATAATATAAATTTATTTCATCTTGTTATTGTCGTTAACAACCAATATTCATCTTGTTATTGTCGTTTACAACTATTCATAAAATAAAATAACTAAAGTAATAAAGTATTTACAATATATTTATACTAACAATCTTTTTTTATTTTTTCCTCTTACATTCAATACCATTATTAACCGAGCAATATAACAACCATACATAGAAAGACAACAAACCAGATACTTATATTTAAATATATCCATGAATTTTTACAGATTGGGGCGATCGGAGAGAAAATGAATTTCTAGAAATCTCCTATCTTGTTAAAATTAGAAAAATGTTGTCTATACAACATACAAATATTTTAAAATTTAACAACTGAGGAAAATATAAGAAACGTGCTGTCAAAAGATGACTTTATATAACCTACAACTGTCCTTACTCCTAGTATGCCGTGCGCATTAAAACTTTTTGGAACCGATAAGTCAACTTAGTGTGAAATCTGCCAATCACAACCAACCAATTCTTGTCATATTAGTAAGCAAAAATTTCTCATCTGAAACAAATTGAATTTTAGATATGTTTCTAAAAACTATGACCTACCAGAGAGAAGAACTTTAGGTCAGCAATTGAAATTTGAAGTTAATGCGTACACTTAAGAGAAAACATTGGGATGTTCAGACTGTCCTATAATCACATTGCACTTAAACTTCTTGCTTTACAATCTACAAATTGTTCTTTAGTGAGAGTTAATTTTACGATAATAAATAAATTTTTATGCTAAACAGACGTCTATAGACGTCTGTTTAGTATAAAAATACGTTCAGTAAACTATAGCTAAATTAGAAAATTATTGTCTTTATTTGATATGCCTATCAATGTAGAGCTCTTATACTTATTAGAATTTTTAATTGTTACTATACTTGTCAAAAATTTATATAGAAGCTCTCTGTTAGGATTACGATGACGCATTGTGATTTTCATCTTTTTTGGAACAAATGTCTGTTAGGGGTGGTAGATTAATCGGTATTTTACACTAATCGATTAACGATTAAATTTCCAAAAATTATTCGATTAATTTTAGGAAAAATGTGTTTATAACTTAACAATAAAATAATTTATATTTTTTATGATTTTATTTCTCTTTTCATCAAATATGATCTTAAAAAACAAATTATTAATAGTGTCATCATTTAAGCTAGTTCTTAAATTAGTGACAAATAAACCAGCTGCACTAAAAATTCTTTCTGCTTCTATAGAAGACGGGGGAAGACTTAGCATGGCATTATAAATCTTTTCTAAAGAACTTGACCTGTTTCCAGTGCTTTCGAGTACTGCAATTTCACGTTTAATGCAAGTCTAAACTTCTTGAGGGGAAGACTTACAAGTTAGCCCTTTAGTTTTTCCTGCTGCTGAAGTTGTATTAGATATTATTTCTGCTAATTCTACAGCTTTAATTTTATTTCTTAATGGTTCTGTATTACAACTCAGACTCATATGCTGCTTCTACTTCCTCGTGTAGAAATAAACATAGGTATATTTCTCTAGCAGTTTTAGCAATTTTATTTTTATGTGGGTATTTCAAAAGATTATCTCGAAATTCTGAGTCTGATTTATAGTCAGCTGGGTTATGTAAAAAGCACAGTAAACCAGCAATATTACAATTTCTTCTTTCGACAATTTTCTCCGAGACACGAGTAAATAAATTTTGACCAATGTTGGTATTTTGTTCTTTAAGATTTAGTAGTAAAAACATAATAATTTTATCGGATTTTATCACATTAGATCACAGTCTCTTTTCCCTAGTTCCATAACACTTAACTCTATAACATGTAGAGCCTGAACAATATCAGAAATGTGTTTTATTTCTTCTTCTTTTAAAATTAAATCTGTTTTAGATATATCAACAAGAGCCTTTGCAAAAACATTTTTTAACTTTAAGAATCGTTTTAACATACTTATTAGAGAATTCCATCTTGTTTTAGTATCCAAAATAGGTGTAAGTTCTTTTCCTAAATCTGTTCTACAAATATTTTGAAGGGAATCGTTTTTAAGTGGAGATTTTCTGAAAAGTTTGACTGTTTTACGAACCTTCGATATGATGATGCCATAGTCCTCATTAAACTGGATTTCCTGTGAAACAGAGCTAATACTTTCCTCATTCCAGCATTCTTCAGTGTCGTTTTCATCATCAGGGTCGGACTCAGATGTTTCCTTCTCATCACAAATTATTTCTTCTTGAGTTGTTTTTATTTCTAAGCATTTTTTCTAATAAAGAAGATCACATACAGCAAGATGAATTCCATGGCAGTAGCAAAGTTGGTGTGTAACTCCCATTTCTCGTCCCATTTTTTTCATTACTGATGCACTGTCAGTAACACATCCAAAAATATCATTGATCAAATTCAAGCTAAATTCATTCAGTTTATCAATAACAATATTAACAGCTCTTTCTGAAGGCAACGAACCATTTATTCTAATTATTCCAAGACCATAGTGACATTTGTCTGAACAATATACATTAAGACATAAATACCTTCTAGTTTTACCAAAAGTCCACTCATAAAGAGAAATTGAAAATCTTCTCCTTTTAATTTTTTTTGCTGAAGCTCTTGAACAACTTTTAACTTCATTGAATTTTGCGTAGTTCATAACAATTGTTTTTATAGCATGTCGATCATCAGGGATTTTAAGTCCTTGAGCTTTCCAGCCATTTTTAATATCTTTGCTATTGGCTAAAGTTGTAAAAGGGATACGATCAACAGCAGTCAAACGAGCTAATACATCTTCAGCTTTGCTATCTATATTACTACAATAAGCAGCAATACTTGGCTGTATATTTTTAGACTTCTCTGAAAGAACGTTAGTCATGAATGGAATTTAAGTTCGACTTAACAATGTTTGCACTTGTATGTTGATTTGTCTATATTTTCCAATAAAAAATGTTTCCAAACTTCAGAGCGGTTTTTTCCAAACGACATTGTAAATGGTGTTCAAGCAGCCGCACTATGAAAAAGCATTATTTTTGCTTGTTTATAATTATATTTGACCGGATGCCGGATAAAAGTCAACACAAGTCTTTTTCGTTAAAAAAAACGCTTGAAAATGTTCGTAAAAATCTTTGGAACAAAAAAACTCAAAGTTGTTATATTAAAAAAAAATTAATCGATTAATCGTTTGTTAATTAATCGATTAATGATTAATGATTTTTAATCGATTAATCGTTAATCGTTTACCACCCCTAATGTCTGTTTAATTTTTTACATTTAAACTAAATGTAAAAAATGAAATCCTTCCTATATATATAAACGGTGATGTACTCGATCAGTCATCAATGCTTACTTCGCCTTACTTCTTAGAAATTAAAAAAAAATGCTAACGTTATTTATTACAGTGTCCTAGCTAGGACACTGTAATAAATTTTTTATATACACATTGTATGTATATAGTAAACGTAATAAATACAACAAGTTTACAACAATTATTTAATGTCGAATTCATTCTTTAAACAGAAACTGGAGTCGTCTGTTATCAATACCAAACATACCTATAATTTTATCTATAAAATCTTTTTTAATGCAGTTTGTTGTGTACTCTTAACATGCACAAACCAGAGAGACGGTCATTTGACATTGTTGACCTAAACCATGTTTTAACATGACGCAATGTGCTAAACGATCGCTCTACTGTTTACGTAGTTTCTGATAAAGTTAACAAAACTAACTTGGATAAAATTGTCTAAAAAATTCTTCAACACTTATGGTTCCTGGATTACCACAATGCTTTTGTCTTCAGCACTGTCTTGGAATTATCAGTCCAATATTCGTTTTCTGTGCCAGTTGTACTCTTTTCTTTTAAAAATCCCTGAAATAAATATTGGAATCACCTCTGTCAAGTTTTACAACAGTTTTACTTTTTGAACTTGTAGCTGGACTTCTTGAAGATCAACTTGAACATATTGAAAAGCCTGAGTAACTGGTTCAAGCATATCAATACTGCAAAATAGTATGGAGACAAAATATAAATGTGTAGGAATTTAATGAACAATAAAACTGATGTGCAACTTGTCGTGTACTTCCATTCGCATGCATTAAAAATTCTTCCAGTTGAAAAAAAATATCTTTAAATTTACTACGAAAAAATCGAATACTTTTATATTGCTTGTCCATCTTGTTTCACATATGAGGGGTTATTTGGAACAGAAGATTTTTTTTTTAGGTTTTCACTAAAAAATAAAATAATTGCTTTAATAGTTCCAATAGTACCACAGCAACATCATTTACATCATTAACCACAAGGTTGAATTTTTTTTTTTTTCTCTTTATTACAATCTTTATACA